CACCAGCCACTCCTCGGAAGGAAGGTTGGGCAATCCTATTTCCGTAGTGATACTGCCTTGGAAACCCAAGGAGGGGTCGCTGTGAGTCGGGGCCGACTCGACGGCAAACAACAACATCATCATTCTGTATGATATTGCAGTGGTGAATATATGACAACAAACATTTGCCAGAACCCCTAAGAGTACACTACAGAGTGAGCCCTAATGTGAACTGTGAACTTACCTAATAGTAAGGCATCATTATTAGTTCATCAACCATAATAAATGTACCACAGGAATGCAAGGTGTTCTGGAGAAAGGGTAAATGGGAACCATCTGTACTTTTTGTAAACTTAGATACTTTCTAAAAAATAAAGTTTTAAAATGTTACTAATTTTTTTTTTTTTTTGTGAGTGAGCAGAAAAAATTCTTTTCTAGTCTTATTACCCTTCAAAATGTAGTTTTAAAATGAGATTTATCAAATGGCATACATCATTAGTCATTAAAAAAACCTAAAAGGCACTGCCATTGAGTCGACTCTGACTCACAGTCGCCCTATAGGACAAGTAGAACTTCCTTATCCAAGGCTGTAAATGTTTTTGGTGCAAGCAGACTGCTTCATCTTTCTCTTACCAAGTGGCTAGTGGGTTCAAACTGCTGATCTTTTGATTAGCAGCCAGATGCTTTAATCACTCCACCACCACAGTGCCTTCTTTAATCATTAGGAAAAAAAAATATACTGCCAATGAGTTGTTTCTGACTCATAGTGACCCCCATTTGGGTTTCTAAGGTTGTAAATCTTTACACAAGTAGATCATCTGTCTTCCTTCTGGAGAGTGGTGGTTTTGAACTGCTGACCTTTTGGTTAGTAGGCAACTGCCTTATCAGTATACCACCACAACTCCTTCCATTAGTCATTAGAGAAAATCAAATGAAAACCACAATGAGAGACTGCCTTGCCCCATAGAATGGCAATAATAACCAACTGTTTGATGGAAAAAACAGCAAAACAGGTATTGGCAAAGTTGTGAAGAGAATGAAACCCTCATCCACGGCTGGTTGGAATGTAAAATGGTAGTTCCTTAAAAAATCAAACATAGAACTACCATATGACACAGAAATTCTAATCCTAGGACCTACCAGAAATTCCAATCCTATGAAGAAGTGAAGGCAGAAATCTGAACACCAATGTCCACTGTAGCACTTTCACAATTGCCAAAAGTCAGAAACAATCATAATGTCCATCAACAGAAGAATGGAAAACAGAATGTGGTATACACATACAGTGAACTCAGCCATAGAGAGAAATGAAGTTCTGATGCACGCCACAACACAGAAGAACCTTGAAAACATTATGCTAAGCAAAGTCATATACTGTATGATCTCATTGACATGAATTAACCAAATACACACAAACCAAAGATTATTAATAGTTGCCAAGGATGGGAAGGAGGGACAATTTCTGTTAAGGCAACAGGTATCGTATTAACAATGGTGGGATATTCTGGAAAAGGATAGTGATGTTGGTACAACATGAAAAATGCAATCACTGTCATTGAACTGTAATGTGTAAGTTGTGTCGCTAAATGTTTTGGTGTGCATATTTTCATAATTTAAAAAATGGTATTTAATTGTTTTTGTAACTATTAAGATTTCATATTGACCAACACTTACTGTTAATCAGAAAGCACAATCCAGAAACATGTAAATGGTTATATCCTGCCTTCAATGCTTTCATTTACTTTCCAGAACTTAGTAAAATTTTTGAGTTTTAGCTTTATAAAACACTTTTCTAAAATGTGTCATTTCTCGAGAGCAGGGAATCAAAAAGAAACAGAACAAATCATGAAGATTTCACATGTAGTTTTTTAAAAAATAAATGTTTATTTTAAGTAAGAAAAGTAATGTTTAAACATTATCCAAAGCTTGTGTTCAAATTAACAAGTAAAAAACAAGACTTCTGAAAAGAAGTTTACAATTAGGTACAAAATACTTGAGAATATACTCTGACTTTCAGTGGATATTTTTGAAAAATAAGTTTTGCTAATGTAGCTTAAACAACATACATCCACGACGCCAGTTAAAATAAAAAGTCCCTAGTGAGGAACTGTCCTTCCTCAGCATGGATAGTTAGCATTTCAAAGTAAGATTTGGGTAAGAATTCCCTAAAAAACAATCATAAACTCGAGGTTCGACAAAGTTGACATTCAGATACCTTATAGTCTTCCTGGCAAATACTGCCTATTTACATCGGCTGACCCATAAACAAGGTTTGCAAGCCATTTTAGCTATGAAGTTTCAATGAAGCATATAGTAATACCCATATTCTCGGACAGAGAAACATTCACTGTGGCCAATTACAGAATCACTTTTCATAATTATTTTAAAGGACTATTACCAAGGCTTCTGCTTCTCTTCTCCATGTACATTTTTTTGTAGGTTTGAAACATTGCTTTTGAATCTTTTACTGGATCTTGTAGTGTCTCAAGTCCATCTGCGCTGATGCTTCTCTTCGGTAGTTTTGATTTAGGCAAAACATTGTTATCTAAAGACACACACACAAAAAAAATCTATGTAACTCAATGTTAGGTATGACAATACACAAACAATCAAAAATAGGAAGATAAATATGCATTTACCACCTATGGTCTGCATTTGGGATTGAACACCTGGGCAAGCAGCTAAATGTTTGACTAATTATACCTACTCCTCACTACTTCCTTATCCTATATAACACATTTACGGCATTGTTGTTGTTAGGTTGCCACTAAGTCGGACCCGACTCATAGCAACCCCTTCTTGGATTACCAAGGTGGTATCACTACGGAAGTAGATTGCCTAACCTTCCTTCCAAGGAGTGGGTGGTGGGTTTGAACCACCAGCCTTCTGGTTAGCAGTCAAGTGCCTTAGGCACTACACTACCAGAGCTCCCACATTTATGGCAGTAGTACAAAATCTACTACCCAATTGTTTTACACATTACTGATACACATCTGGCAATAATTAACAATGATGTGCAAGGCAAGAGTTAACACTGGCTGTGATGGTTAAGGTTATTTGTCAGCTTGGCTGAGTTATGGTTCTCAGTGGTTTGGTAGTTACACAATGATGTAGTCATCCTCCATTCTCATGAGACAATGATCTTTGCAAAATGACCTGGTCTTTGGAACTTAGCCACGCTGATGAGTGGAATAGGTTTATAGTTCTTTACCTATGTAAATTACACAAATAGGCTATATCTCACCTCTCTCCTTTTGGGAGCTCTCTTCTACTCTCATTCCCATCACCACTGCCCAGGGGTGTTCTGATCCACCTTATCCTTGCTCAGTAATTTATGCTATTATCATTTGCACACTGATCTAGAGCACATGTGTCAACAGTTCAAACCAGAGGTTCAAATTGGTTCAAACTGATTCGGTTATATCTGATAAAGTGAAACTGGCACAGATACAAACTTATAAAATTTGGGTGATCCAGAATGCTAACTGGAATGGGAAAAGTTACCGGTTGAATCATTGGGATAGGAGTTCCAGAGGTATAGTGAGCCTTTTTAGGAGCCTGATGTGTGACATTAGATTCATGCCAGAACCTTGGAGAGTGACATTCAAAGAGGTGCAATCAGCCACCATATGTGATCTGGGCACAGATGTTTTCCAACCAGTCAAGAGATTTGGGTGCTACAGAATGCACATACTACCATTGTTTCCTAAGAGAGATATTAGGTTTCTAGTTCAGATTTAGCCTGTATTTTTCCCATTCTACTAGGCATTCTGGTTCACTCACATTTTAAACATTCAAATCCACTCTGGTGTCACTTCATTGCCCATTAATGAACCAGGCTGAATGAGTTAGAAGCCCTGGTTCAAACAGCTTTACACTGAATAGGAAGGACAGTACTAATATTCTGATCTTACCTAATATTCTAAAACACATCTGCACTTTTCTGTCCATTTCTTTAGACCATCAAGCCCTAGCTTGTATTTCTCGATACAAAACAAAAAACAAAGTACATTAATTTCACTAAATAAACTGGACACTGAAAGCTCATTTTCTAGTTGACTTCGATCCCAAAACCCACCCTTGCCAAAAAATAAGAGATAATCAGCCAAGAGTATTAATAATCTTTAATCATTGAAATATCACTCAAATACTATAACTAATGGATTTCAAAGAGAGGGGACTGGATTCAAATTTTTACTGTTTCTAACAGTGTAACTTTACTCAAATGATCCAACCGCTGATCTATAATATGGATCCTTATTTTGAGATTTAAATGAAATACCATGTAAACTGCCAAGCCCAGGAGTTGGTAAGCTACTATAGCTTGCAGGCCAAATATAATCTGCTATTTTGGTAAATGAAGTTTTACTGGAACAGTGTCTCACTCATTCATTTACCTATTATCTATGACCACTTTCACACTATGTCGTCAGAGTTCAATAGTCAGGAGAGAGACTTTATAACCTGAAACCTGTAATACTCACTGTCTGTTCTCTTACAGAAAAAGTCTGCCAATGTCAATCCTCTATCTCACTCATTATATAGAGAATTAGTTTCTTATTAAAGACAAATATATCACAGTTGCTTAAAATACAGCATGCCAGAGAAAACAGAAGAATGTCCTTTCACCACTCATACATGCAAATACTGAATAACTGAACAAAGACCATGGTTAAAATCATATTTCATACTGGCTTCACAATTATAATTACTTTACATAATGGAGTGGTAGTAATAAGCAAAACACATATTTAAATAAATTATGAGTTTACCTATTTTTTGGTTGTTTTCCCGCATCCTTTTCTCCGTATTAACACATTTTAGCCAGGCTTCTTTTGTACTTTTTATTCCTGAAACTATTTAAACATTTGTTTTCAGATCTCAAGATACTGTTATTTCTTTTAGTACCACAATGAAGGAAAATCATGTAAGGCTAGAATAGACTTTGAAGAATAAGTAAATCCAAATGCAATATAACCCCAAAAAGGGATCTGGAAAACGATTACTCCTTCTTGAAGAGCTTTAAATCTCATGACTTGAAAATCAGTTGCTTTAGAAGTTTATCTTCACTATGTAATTTGTTTCCCTTACTTGATTAAACAAACACCATGAAGATATTTCAGGATGTGTGAGATAACAAAACCAATCCCATTCCCCCACCTACTTCAATGGTCTCCTTACGCCCAAATTTAAAGAATTCAAGTGATAAAAATCTGAAATTACCATTCTTTAAAAAAAAAAAAAAAAATTGTACTAATTTTCCTCACATAGTCCTGTCATCTTCCAACAAAGTATGCATGTCCTTTTTATGTTATAGGTTTACTCACAAGATACTGTGAAAAGTATTGCATAAACTTAAATTTTCACTCAAATCTTTAGTTTTCCAATCTCAATTTTTCAGCTCAATGCTTTTAGTATCCAATATCCACAACCCTTAAATGTTCCCTCACTATTATAAATAACTAGCTATTTTTATTTTCTCCCATTTTCCTGCACAATGAGAATTTTACCATTTAAATAGATGCTATCATTTTAACTTTAGTGGTAACACAATTGTTTCAAAACGACAAGGCAAACAATTTCTATAGGAGCAAAAAATATTTCACTTCTAACCATAAAATATTCTCTACTATTTAGAGCAATATTACAAATCCATGGGGCTCTGAAATTACCAAGTCCAAAGGAGAATCAACAAAAGCCAGGCTCTTGGAATAATGTATAGCAACACATTTCTACCTTATCAAAAGCAATGTTTTACACAACAAAAGCGTCTTTGGCCAACTGTACAATTTTATGTACCTCGTCCTTACATATTTATTACAGTTTAAACAAATTTTTCCCAATGAAGCATTTATATACCGAGAAAAATAAACACAATATAATGGCAAAATGCACTGAAGTCTTTATCAGCTACTCAGATGACAGGTGCTAACCCACTGATCTACAGGAAATTCTTTACAATTTTGCATACACCATCAATAAAATCATACCAGACCTTGTACAGGTGCTTGCTCTTTCCTAGGAGAAGGCTTCTTCCATTCTTCACCATTTGTGTTCTCAAACAGAGCATCTGGACATAACTTAAACTCCAGCATTGTTGGTTTCTCTGAAGTATCTTTCACAGGTAAAAATCTTTTAGGTTTATTTTCTTGGCTCCTCTCTGTATCAGTAATAGGCTTTCTGGGGGAATTCTCTAATTTCGAGAGAGAAATGCTTTCACGTTCAGTACATTTAAATGCAACTCTGTTCAGATATCGTTTCCTTTGATCCTTTGCTTGGGGAGCCATTTGAATGAATTCACCTTCACTATTTATATTGGTTAAGTGTTTGTCTGTTTTGGTTTTATCCATCCATATTTTATCAGGTTGCTTTCTAACAACTTTTCCTTTAATATTCTTTGAACTCTTGTGTATTTTAGACTCCTCAGAATGGTGGATTTTGAGGGTTTTGCCATGGCTTGTTAAAATATTTAATCCTTCTTTAGAAGTCTGTACAAGGCTACTATGTCTCTCATTCGATTTCCCACAACTCTCTACTCGCATGGAATGTTTAGCGGGCCGCACGTATTCAGAATCACATGATATGTTTTTCATTTTCTCAATTACACAGCTTTGCTTCGATGCTTTGTTACTCATTGCCTCTTTATGTTTCTGCCTATGTAAGTATTCCTTCGATGTTAAAACTCTGTTAAATTTACATGACACATCCTTTGAGTCTGAAGCCTTAATATTTGAATTTGAAGATTTCATTAAACTTCTGTGGATATTGATTTCCAGATTTGTAGATTTTACTTCTATTGAAACTGTCTTTTCTTTAATACTAGTTCTTTCATTTGAGTTTGACAAAGAATTACATAATTTGAAACAATTTCCCATATTTTTATTCTGCTCTCTTTTATCATATTTTTTCCTTCTCTCCATATCAAATATGTGTCCTCGGTCTGACCTTCTTTCTTCTAAAAGTTTGTATCTGGAGCCTCCTGCTTTGAATTTCAATTTTATCTTTTCTGGTGATATTGATTGTATCAAAGAACCATTCTTTGCGTACGGATCTTTATTTTTATTTGTCAAAATAACTGTCTTTGCTTTTAGTGGACATGAATTCTGTGCAATTTGTTTCTTTGGCACACTCCCTTGAGAATCTTGTTCACAGAATTTCATCATTTTACTACTGGAGTGAAAAGTTACCTCATGAAACTGAAGTTTCCTTTTTCTTTTGTGACTCTGCAAGGGATCTAATTTTTTATCACACTTAGATGAAAACTGACCAGGTAATTCTTCTGTCTTGATCAAGCTGTTAAGTTTTGTTTTGCATGTATCTTTTATACTCTTGTCTTCTTTTATTTCAGGAGAAAGACTTTTCCCATCCAGCAGAGTCAGAGCAGGTTTGAGATCCTTATCTGGAGAATTATTACATTCAACAGGAACATCTGTATCGGAGGTTTTCTTTCCTTTCTCACAACTGTTAGTCTCCAAAGGGGAACCCTGATCTTTCCTGTTTTCTTCCTTTGAAGCCAAGTTCTTGATGGAATTACACTGACACTGGGGTACTCCTTCATAAATCAGAGAGAGCCAACCCAATGCACAGCAATGAATATCATCTTTCTGTACATTTGATACCACAGAATCTTTACTTTCTCCTTCTGCATGTGCTTTTGGATCACACTGGCTTCCTACTTTTGTGATAGGCTTTTCCTTCTGAGGTTCTATCAATCTGTCTCCATCACTGGGCTGATCGTCTTGTTCAGGAAATAATTCTTTCATTTGCTCTGAGCTTATTATTGTAATTTTTATTTGGTCTGTCAAGTCTTTGGAGTCACAACCAGTTTTATCACAATTTTGAACTTTCAATACTCGGTCTACATGTTGGCCCACAGAACCTTCATGTGAGTTTACAGCTTCAATGCCATAGGGAAACTCTTTTAAAAGTTCTGACAGTTGATCATGTAGGTATAAGATGGATGTCTCATCACTGAGTATCTCACTCCTTGTAGAATCTTGGGCAGTATAATTGTAGGATGTATCAATTTCTGTGATATCCTGTTGGACAGCAGTTGAAAGGTAAGTATCACTAGTTGTGCTTTCTTTGTTAATGATACACTCCAATTTGTTTTCCTCTAGAATTTCTCCCTTTGCTTCAGCATACTTCAATGATGATGACTCTGAAGGTGGCAGTGACTCTGACTGATCAGTTATTTTAGGAGAAACATCTGTGACTTGTACAATTTTCTCTTTTTGAAAACTAAAGTTTTTATTTTCTGTGGTCTTTTCGAACTTTTCTTTCTGCTGTCTACAACTAATCACTTTGTAATCAGGTAGGCAAGGTTTCTGTGACTCAACCTTATCCACAGAGGAAGAGTTGAGTATCTTTGCTATTTGGGAATTATAAGATTTATCACCTTCCACAAGAGAACAAATATTGGCAATTTGAAATGTATCATCACTCACAATAGTACTCTCAGTTGATTGATACAAGACTTGCTGATTACCACCCACATCTGGGCAGACTAAGGTATCTTCATTTTGGGACGATTGAACATTGAATTTTGATTTGATATGCTTTTCTTGGTTGGTATTAGGTACACTTTCTGAATTACAATTAGCTGACTCATCCTGCTTTTCATTCTGAATTAGTAGAGAAATCTTAGTTGATGCTGTAGTACTGGATGCTAGTTTATTAACATCAGCTTTCAAAGAACCAGTTATGCTCATGTTTTCAGCCAACTGATCTTGTAAGCTACAAACACTGCCTTCTTTAATAACTGGATATGCTGGGTCAGGTAATGCTTCAGATGTTATTCCCTTGATAGGTATTGCTCTGACATGTGGTGAAAGAATTAAAGGTGACACTACAGCAATCTGAAGTTCTGGTCCCTTTGTTAAATTTGCACCTGAAGACTCAAAATTTTGCATTGCCACTGGCGAAGCTGTTTGTAGTTCTGAGTTATTTAACACTTTATTTTGAGAATTTCCTAGAACTGCACAAGGACTCTTACTGTAGACTTCTGTAGGTTTTGAAATGCCAACTGTTGTTCTGTTTGTTTTCAATTCATTACAATGTTTTTTTACTGTAGGCTCTGAAGGTTGCTTTTTCCACAGAGAAAGACATGTTGCTAATAATTCCATGGAACAGTGATTATCACTTTGAGAAGACATTCCATTTGTTGAAGATTTATGATCAAGACAAAAAGACCTGTCCGAAACCTTGGCATTTGTATTAGAAGTATTCTGAGTTTCCATGGCTTTCAAATTTGCTGGATCACAAGTGATTTGGGAATTCTGATTTATTTCAAAACTGTTTGGTTTAAGATCTTGATTAGTTTCACTAGCATTTTTTACTGATTTATTCTTAAATGTTTTATCTTCAACCATAAGAAATTGGAGTAGAGTATTTTTATTTGGATATTTTGAAACATAGTCCACCAAAAGCGGAGGCTGAGCAGCAGTGATTGTTTCAGAATCTGCTGGAAGACTTATGTCATCTCTAACATTCTCTGATGAAAGCTGGGTATTATTTAATGTTTTGCTAATCTCAACAGTTGATGTCTTTAAAGAAGCTTGTAGATCATGCAACTGGTCTTTCACTGGCAAGTTTTCTGAACAGTTAGAATTTAGTAAAACAGACTTGTCTTGATTAAGCTTTCTGCAACTGATTTCTTGAATACTGGAATTCATTGTACATTGTATTCTGTTTGTTTCTTCTGCACATTTCATTACAGTCGATGCCTGACCCTCTACAATCTCTACGTTTACTGGAGGACCTGACTGGATTTTAGAAGTCTGTTTCAGAGACAATTCAGAATTCTGAGTTGATTCACTATGACTAGTATTAGTTGCTTTACTACAACCTGCTGCCATCAAAAGCTTTTTGTTTATTTTAATCTTTCTTGCAAGTTCCAAAAACTTCTTTTTCATTTCTACTAATGCTTTAATATCACTCACTAATCCTTCTTTTGTGATATTTGTGTCCAGTACTTGATTTGAGGCTGAACAGTTGCCAGAATCCATTTTTTTACCTTGATTATTTTGACCAAAAGTCTGAACGCCATCCACAAGAAATCTAACTCGTTTATTAACAGGCTGATTTACACTGCCATTTACTTGCAAATTACAAAAATTTTCATTTGTGCTGACTTTGTCATTTGCTTTCAAATTACAGAAACTTCCATTTGTGTTGACTCCTTTATTAGGATTTCGCCACTGTTCAAAGTCTCTACAAAGGTCTTTCAATATTTCAGTTAAGTGTGTTTCTGGATTCTGAGGAACTTCCGTAGGTGAATACTTACTCACATGCTGAGTGTTTTGCAAAGGCCGGCTTGCGTATCTACAATCAGAAGTAGGAGGAGGGGGTCTATGATCGATTTGAGGAACAACATATTGATTTGACTGTACAGGTACATTCTGCTGTGACTGAAAGTAGAGGGCAGGACTTGGAAGTGGACTATTTTTAACTTCTAACATTGCAGACAGCATTGGGTTTTGTTTCTGAAGTGTAGAATCATGCAAAAAGCTTTGCTGTGAATAACAGTGTTGCTTTGGAAGTAATCTGTAGTCTGGAAATGTCAATCCATTAGGTGTATTTTGTTGTGTCCAGTCAAACTGTCGCTCTGATAAAGATGGGTTAAGTCCTTGATTTCCTTGATAAGTTACAGGACCTTTAGCAGAATTAGAAGGGATCGTTTGTAGCTGCAAAGAATAGGTATCTGATGTTACAAATTGATTCTGTAGCGTATGAATATTGGATGTATTACCTCCAAAACCAGTTTCATTAGATATAACAGTTGCTCCTCTATGAGAAGGCATAGGATTCCTCATTGGTGAGCTCAACCACGCATTTTGTGTAACTCCTGAAGACATCTGCAAATTCCGATTTAATTGTTTGGGTTTAATATTTGGGTATGCTTTTCTTTCTACTGAAGTTTGGGAGACCACATGTGTCCCACTCTGCATATCAGAAACAGAGATTTGTTGAGGAGTTGTGTAATTTTTTATGTTGAGCAGTGGCTGTGAAATAGGATTAGAACGAGTGGGATACATGCATGTTTCTTGGTTACTTCCAGGATAGTTGAAAGAACTCTGAGATGCTGAAGCAAGTGGGTTTATTAAAGCTTGCTGCAAAAATGATGACTGGCTTTTAGGATATGATGGTGGTGGCATTGTAGCACTCTCTGGTTTTGCATTCCAACTCATCGTTAATTTGATGTAGTAGCAATATATTAAAAATCAGTAGTGTTGAACATCAGTAACCTGTAAGAATTAAAAAACATTAAAAAGCTGCTTTGCCTGACAGAACTTCTAAGACAATCAGTTTACTTTAAAACACTAACGCAGACTATGTTGATCCTAATTTCTCACACTAGAGAAAAACCTCATTCTTAATTCTTAGAAAAGACAATAACATGCAAGATGCACTATAAATGAGGCAAATGTCAATAAAATTCCTGGACTGTTTAATACCACAAAAAAGAATATAGTAAAAAGTCTTTACTGCCTATCCCCCCGGAGCATCCATTGTTACCTTTCATTCAGAACATTTCTATACATAAACAAATGCATAATCATAAATATAAGCTCATCTTTTAAAACAAACAGAATCCACTGTCTACAATTTGCTTGTTTTACATTTACTATACCCCAGAAATCTCATTTCACAAAATATATCTACCTCATTGCCTACTTAGCAATCCCCTTTGTAGGTATATACCATCATTTAACCAGGCCACCTCTACTCATGATTTGATTCTCTTATGTTTTTGGTTTTATAAAAAAATTAACCTGCATCCCTGTATATATATTTTTATATTTGTGCCAAAAATTTCTGTAAACTTCTGGATGTGAAATCAATGTGTCAAGGGACATTAAAATTTTGTGTTTTGATATGACAGCTTAGCTTCTAAAACAGTTAAAATGATACTCATCAAAAATTTCTTGCCAAACCTCAAAATAAACAAATCCATAACCATGGTGGCAGATCTGAAAAGTCCTCTTCAGTAAAAGATGGAAGAAAGATAGATGATTTCATTAACAAAATTAAAACAAACATGACTTAATAAATGTTAACAGTATTAATAACAACTGTAGACTATACACTCTTTCTAAGTGCACATGGAAGGTTTTAGGCCATAAAGCAAATGTCAAATTCTGAAGGATTAAAATAACCAATTAAAATAATTTAGATTAGTCTGTTGTTATTGTTGTTGTTATGTGCTGTTGAGTCAGACCTGACTCATAGCAATCACTCCCCTTGAGTTTCCGAGCTGGTATCGCTACAGAAGCAGATTGCCCAACCTTCCTTCTGAGGAGTGGCTAGTGGCTTTGAACTGCCAAAATAAATCTAGAAATTTAAGAAAAAATGGGAACCAGAAAATGTCAAATAATTGCAAAGAAGTAATGAACTTCTAAATGACCTGAGGATAATTTATGGCATTAAAGACTTTATTTTCAAGAAGTGACTATAAAAATAGCAAATCAACCCAAAGAAAGGAAGGAAATGAAGATGAATGAAATAATAAACAATAAACAAAAAGATTCAATAAAGTCACAAGTTGGTTCTTTAAAAAGAGTGATAAAAAATATAAGCTCTGACTAGTCTGATCATGATAAAGAAAAACAGAAATAGTTAATATCAGGAAACAAGGCTATCACTATAGTCATTAAAAATGAGAAGCATATATTTAAGTAACTTTACTAAAAAGAAATTTCCTTAATACAACATATCTACAAAAATTAAACTGACAAGACAAAGATGCTACTTCTCTATTAATCGCTCTACTGAAGAAGAAACAAGCAGAGAGATGGGTGAAGACAGATACTAAACCACATGACGATCACCAAGGAATGGACAAACAGAAGCTAACAAGACACAAAGACTTTCCCTCAGAAGACACAGATTCTTCCCCTTGAGAAGATACCATGAATTCAGACTTCTAGGCTAATAACTGTGAGAAAATAAATTTTTGTTAAAACTGCCCACATGTGGCATTTCTGTTAGAGTAGCACTGGTAAACTGAAAAAAAAAAATAAATAAATAATTGAGAGAGACCTCAATTAATGGAAAGACATTCCATCTTGGTAGAATGGAAGGCTTTATATAGTGACGATGTCAATGAGACTCAAAGTAATCTAAAAATTCAATACAATCCCCAAAATTTCAACAGCCTTCTTTGCAGAAAGGAAAAGCCAATCTTTAAGTTTAATGGAAGGGGAAAGGGTCCCTGAATTTAGTTAAAGCAATCTTGAATTAGATGAGGTAAGCTTCATACTACCTGATTTCAAAATATACTATAAAGCCACAGTGATTAAAACAGCCTGATACTAGCATAATAATATACAAATAGACCAATCCATACATCTATGGTGAACTGACTTTTGGCAAGAGTGCTAAATACTAACTCCATTCAATGGAGAAGGAAGAGTCTATTCAGTAAATTTTGCTGTTAATCAAGCATACAAAAAAACTAATCCAAAATGGATCAAGAACCTAAATATGAAAATTAAAACCATTAAATTCTTGGAAGAAAACACAGGGGCATAGCTGCAAGTACCTAGATCTAAAGAATAGATTATCAGATGATAACAAAAACATGAACACCAAATGACAAAATAAATGAGACCTTATAAAAATTAAATACTTTTACTTATCAAAGACTTTATCAATAAAGTGAAAAGACAACCTATGGATTCAGGGAAATTCTGGAGAACTAAATAGTCAATAAGGGTCTAATAAACAAAATATATTAAAAACTTCTACAATTTAAGACCAACAAAAACGAAAAAAAAAAAAAAATTTTTTTTAAATGCCCCAAGGACTTGGACAAATAGTTCACCAAAAAGAATATTCAAATGATCAATAAGCACAAGAAGAGATAGTCAACAACATTAGTCATTAGCGAGATATATTCAAAACCACAAGGAAACACCATTTCACCCCAATTTAAATGATAATGCTTCTAAGAAAAAAAAAAAACCTCACTGCCCTCAAGCTGGATCCATCTCATAATGACCCCTCCTTGGGTTTGTTTCCAAGGAGGTATCACTACAGAAGAAGATTGCCCAATCTTCCTTCTAAGCCTAACCCTAACCCCAACAGCAGCAGAGAACAACAGAAAACAATAGTTGGCATGATTGTGGAGAAACGGGTGGTGATGAGAATGTAACATGGAACAGATGTTGTGAAAAATAGTGTGGTGGGTCCTTAAAAAGTTGAACATAGAACTACTACATGACCCAGCAATCCCAATCCTAGATTGTTGTTGTTGTTGTTGTTATGTGCCGTTGAGTCGGCCCCGACTCATAGCGACCCCTCCTTGGGTTTCCGAGGCAGTATCACTACGGAAGTAGGATTGCCCAACCTTCCTTCCGAGGAGTGGCTGGTGGGTTTGAACAACCAGCCGTCTGGTTAGCAGGCAAGTGTCTTAGCCACTATGCTACCAGAGCTCCCCAATCCTAGGTATATACCCAGAAATGAAACCAGGAATGCAGTCTTACATACAAATGTTCACTGCAGTACTTTTCACAATAGCCAAATGTGTAAACAACCAAAATACCCATCAACAAAGAAATGGATAAACATTCAATGGAATATTACTCAGCCATAAAGAGAAATGAAGTCTTGATGCAGGCCACGACACAGATGAAGTTTTCAAGATTCAGCAAAGTCAGTCACTAAAGGACAAATAGTGACCTATTACATGGCATACGCAGGTAAGCATCATTAATGACTGTTCTGGCAACATCTGACTGCATATATGTCAGTAGTCTGTCTCATGAGGCGTTTTTGAAAAAGGGAAAACAGTTCTCCTTTTGTTTACTATTTCTCTCCTATTAGTTTTAAGGACCCCAAACTCTCAGAATGAAAAAGCAGTGGGCTCCAGGGTATATCCTCATCATTGCACACCTTTCCCTTCTCTCCTCTTGGCTTAATTCACTGGCTCAGCAGCTATGCAGCCTTCATTTCAGGGCAGTGCCTGCTTCGGCTCCTCTACAAGGATCACAAAGTGGCTATAACAACAAGACAGCAGCAGCCAGGGCCAAACCACCAGCGACACTCAATACTTCCACACACTCAGTCCCTGTATCCACTTCTGTGTGCCCCTCCTGTACCCTCTCCCTTGGGCCCAGACATCTGCCAAGTCCTAATATGGCTACTGGCACAGCCACCCCACCTATCCCATCTGCACATCTGGCAAGGCTGGCCTCCTATAACCAGTGGATACAGCTCCTGGGCTTTGTCCAGACTCCTATAAGCCTTATTAATGTAATAAGCCTTATGGAGATTTAACTACAGATTGTAAAGGCTGTCTGTATGTAATAGGGTATTTGCACATTATCCAAATCACATGTCTTATTTGACAGAATGTATCATGGATGTTAAGTGATATATACCTGTATATGAAAAAAACAAAAACAAAACCATTGCGATTCAGTCAATTACAACTTATGTAACCCTAGAGGACAGAGTAAAACTGTCCCATGGTGTTTATAAGGTTCTTTTGGAAGCAGACTACTACATATTTCTCCCACAGAGCAGCTGGTGGATTAGAATGGCCAAATTTTGGTTAACAGCCAAGCACTTAACTACTGAGCCACCAGGGGTCCCAGGCAAATATATTTAAAAAAAAAAAAATAAAACACTGTCTTCAAGTTGACTCCTAGTGACCCTACAGGTCAGAATTAAGTAGAAAAAGCATACAGCTGAGACCTAAATTTAGGGCTAGAGACACTAAGGCCCTTTATAACCCACTAACCCATCACACCTGGGTGGGTCTGTACCTACATCCTGGAACATGACTGCAGAAGTAACCATCACCCTCTCTCCCAGCTCTGCGCATGTTCTTGTAAGTTTTTATGCACAGGTGTTTGCAGTAACCTAATTTCCAGCTCTTCAGACATGTGCAGCATGATGCAGATTGTCCGTGCATAGCCTCTGTGAGATAAGACCTTGCTTGGGAATCGAAGCAGCACTCCAAAGGATAGTGCGTATGTGACATCCCATAATGAGTCATGTCACATCTGATTACCATAATCCAACCCAGAACCTCCCATTTCCCTGAAGTACCTACATTTTCCCAGAAACTCAGTGAATAAAGCATTTACCTGAAACCTTTATAAACATCTCCCCACTCTGTGCTTGGGGAGACAGGAGTAAGCATTGCCCTAGGCCCTCTATGTCTATACTTATAAGCTATTTT